AGGGGGTTCAATTGAATCCCCTTCGTCAATTATACTGTGCAAATATAGAAAAAACGAGATTTTTTTGGTATATATAAACTATTGAATCCATGTGATATAAGGAAAATTGTAGTGTTGTGACAAAGGGGTTCAAAAATTGCTTTTGGTCGCAAGTTCAAATACTAGGTGCGACATTGTAGTTTCGTTTTGAATTCTCTTGTAGAAATTCCTAGCTCTGCCACTAAATGCACTAAACAACTTTTTTGCCAACCCTTACCAAGCATGGACAAATGCAGGTCCACACACAACCTTTGGCTCTATATCTATATACAGTTAAGAAAAATTAAAACACACACACACACACACACACACACACACACATATATATATATATATATATTATGTGTTTGTGCCCATAGTGAGTCCAATAGACTTGAAATCATACATTGGAACACGTTGCTGAGTTCAGCAACAACAAAAATAATAACAACAGCTATATTTCCAAATTAATATAAATAACAATGAAAAGTGCGATTAAATAAAAACACCATAATTAATACCTAATAAATATGCTGAGAAGAGCAGAAGCCGAAGCGAATGAAATAGAGAGTATGAAAAGGAAAGTAGACTTGGAGGGACGAAGGCTGTTGGTTGTTAGGGCAGCAGAGAAGGCTGGATTCTGGTACACCGTGAATTTTGAGGGTTTAGGTGGCGGCGAGCTCTGCTCTTTTATTACTCCTCCGCCGCCAGCACTCATTGTCACTGTTTTTTCTCTGTTTTTTACCCCTTGTGGTTTTATACAACAATCGCCATTATTGGAAACTTCGATTTAGCAATCGAGCTCGCCGCTCACCTCACAGTGCTCGAATTTTTTTGCTGTTTGAAATTAGAGCATGTGCAGAAGAGAAGAGGGAAAGAGTTTTTGGTTTTAGTAATTAGATACACTCATGTTTGAGAAATTGTATTTGAGCCCTAGTTATTTCTTATTAGAAATTGTACTCCCCGAATCCCGCATGATATAGGAGTAACTAATCCCACATAAATCCTACTGTATTTGCCTTAAGCCCTTAACTCAGGTGGGTATCTAAGTAGTATTATCTTAGAGGAAACTACACAAGATGCCTACGTCGGCCATTTATATTACCCGTTTCTACTCATTCGTAAAATAATTACATAAATTGCCTAAACGATCAAAACAAATTATCCGCCTACTCACAACCCATCCCTTAAGCCACAAGACCCATTTACAGATATTTAATGGGTTATTTAATTCTCTTGTCCGCTTGTTTGCTATTAAATTCCAAGGATTCATAGTTAAATCCTTATATAACCACCAACTGCCACGTAATTTTTCTTGACCTCTATCCCTTTCCGTTTGCTAACTAACCTTTTATTTAATTTACACGTAGGTTAGGTCCTTCATTCATCAACTTGTAACTTTAACATATCCCAAGGTTGTTTCATTTGTTACACTCATGTAATGCCATATATCTCATATTTAGCTATATTATATTCTTAAATTAAAATTAGCCCAAAATAATTATAAAAATTTGCAGGGCAGGCAAGTCAGATTTCATTGAAGTATCAAGGCAAAAGTAACATCAGTTTACAATATATTGCAATGGTATATTGTAATAATCGAAGAAGAACACAATTACCTAACAATATACCGGTACAGTATACAATATACTATAGGAGTATATAGTTATACTGCAACAATATACCATTATAGCATACAATATATTGTTATAGTATACTGTAATAATATGCAATATACTGTAATAGTATGCTGTAATAGTATACAATATACTATAATAGTATACTTATTACCCGTAAATTCACTTGCCTTTTCCCTTTTAATTTTCTTTAAGCTTTTACCCATCGTGAGGGGCAAACTGAAAATGCAAAAAATATATATATATTATAGTATGCCATATAATGTAACGGTATACTCTTACAATTAGATCCTTTTAGAATTTTTTGAAATTTTTATTGACAACTGATATTTTTTCAGTTTAATAATTGAATTAAATTTTTTTAACTCTTTGCGTACAATTGTATACCATGTTGGTATAGCTATATACTGTATTGATATCATATGTTAGTTAATATTTTTTGGTTGTATTAGCTATATTTAATTGGTACGCAATTTGATTTTTCTTTAGTAATAATATAAAAAAAATAGTGAAAACAATAAATGAAATTATATTATGAAGAGAAAAAGAATATAAAAAAAAAAGAACTTAAATGAAATTGGAAAGGAAAAAAGAAAAAAAATGAGAAAAAAGAAAAGGAGAAAAGAAAAAAAAGAAAAAAAGAAAAGAAAAGAAGCATAGAAATAAAAAAAAATTGGAAAATAAAGAAAAAATTTCCCCACAAAACTACTATGGGTAGGAAATGTAATTAGTTTATGGGTAGAAAAACAAATGGGTAGACAAGGGTAAATAGTTTTGTTTTTGTGGGTAACTGTGTCAAAACCCAAGATATAATGTGTATCAATAATGGGGTGAATAACTATTCACGTACAAGTAGACAACATTACTATAGTAAATAAGTTGGGTGAAAATCATTTGCGTCCCCAATCTTTACTTTAAAAATTAAACTCCCTTTCTGTTTTTAACAATTATCATTCTTCCACTTATTTCTCAACTGACTTTTTAAAATGTCTATTTTAACCTCTATATTATCAATATTTATCTCTTTACATTTTTTTTTAACCTTTTCAGTATCATGATAGTTTTCTTTTTTCTAATATCTATGCTATGAAGTATGAACTTACCTATGTAATACAACAACAACAACAACAAGAAATTCAGTATAATCCCCAGATAAGGTTTGGGGAAGGTAATGTGTACGCAGACCTTACCTCTACCTTATATAGATAGAGAGGTTGTTTCTGATAGATCATAGGCTCAAGAAACAGTGGAGATAAAGCAGCCAAGTAGCAAACAATAGTAACAACAATGTAATATGGTAACAGGCGAAAATGACACAGCATGTACTAATAAAGAACCATGACTAGGAAATTTCAAAAAATAGTCTTAGTACTACTGGTTAGCCTATGAGGAACACACTACTAACTGTCAACCTATAACCCTTATCCTCGACCTATACGCCTTCCTATCGTGGGTCAAGCAATGACATGTACTACCTAATTACCTCTCATTAATACTTCTTAGGCCTACCCCTTCCCTTCCTCAGACTCGCCATGGACAACCGCTCACATCTCCTGACCGGAGCATCTATGTCTCTCCTCTTCACACGCCCGAACCATCTCAACCTCGATTCCCGCAACTTGTCCTCCACATATGCCACTTCTACCTTGTTCCTACTAACTTTATTCATAATCCTATCTTTCTTGGTATGCCCACACATCCATCTCCACATCCTCATTCAGCTACTTTTATCTTCTGGACATGAGACTTTTTGACAGGCCAACACTCAGCCCCATACAATATAGTCGGTCTAACCACTACTCTATAAAACTTGCCCTTAAGTCCAGTTTCACATTCTTATCACACAAAACCCCCGAGGCGAGCCTCCATCTCATCCACCCCGCTCCAATGTGATGAGTAACATCCTCATCAATCTCCCCATTTTCTTGAATAATTGACTCAAGATACTTGAAACTATCTCTTTTGGAGATGACTTGAGTACCAATCTTCACTTCCACTTCTTCTTCAAGCATCCCATCACTGAACTAGCACTCCAAGTACTTAGTTTTTGACCTACTCAACTTGAAACCTTTAGACCCAGTGTTTGTATCCAAACTTCTAACCTAGTGTTAACTCCACCTTGCAACTCGTCAATCAGAACTATGTCATCAGCAAATAACATACATCATGACACCTCCCATTGTATGTGTCGCGTCAGCACATCTAACGCTAAGGCAAACAAAAATGGGCTAAGAGCCGATCCCTGATGTAACCCCATCTCCACTAAGAAATAATCTGAGTCTCCTCTTGTAGTTCTCACCCGAGTCTTTGCTCTCTCGTACATGTCCTTAATCACCCTAATGTATGCCACTGGAACACCGCTAGCCTCCATAAATTTCCATAGGTCCTCTCTCGGGACTTTATCACAGGCCTTCTATAGGTCAGTGAATACTATATGCAAGTCATTCCTCCTGTCCTTGTGCTGCGCCACCAATCTCCTCACAAGGTGAATGGTTTCTGTAGTAGACTGTTTTGGCATAAATTCGAACTGGTTCCCGAAAATCATAACACTACGTCGCACCCTTCTCTCCACCACCCTCTCCCAAACTTTCATAGTACGACTCAGCAGCTTGATACCCCTATAGTTGTTATAGTCCTGAATATCACCTTTGTTTTTATACAATGGGATCATCAAACTCCACCGCCAATATTCAGACATCTTCTTTGTCCTGAAAATGACATTAAACAAATCAGTAAGCCACTTCAAGCCTTCCCGGCCCACTTCCTTCGAAAATTCCACTAGGACCTCGTCAGGCTCAGTTGCCTTACCACTATTCATCTTCCGCATTACCCCATCAACCTCTTCGCTCCTAATACGCCTACAAAACCAAAATCCCTCTGACTCCCTGAATTTTCCAACTCACCTAGAACGATGTTCTCGTCCCCTCCCTCGTTCAAGAGTCTATAAATGTACTCCCGCCATCTACACCTGATACACGCCTCTTTCACCAGAACATTACCATCTTTGTCTTCGATGCACCGCATTTGGTCCAGGTCCGAGCTTTTCTCTCCCTCATCGTGGCTAACCTATACAGCTTCCTATCGCCTCCTTTGTCCCCAAGATCCTCATACAATCGCTCAAAAGCTGTAGTCTTAGCCCCGGGATTGCCAATTTTGCCTCTTTCCTTGCCTTCTTATAACACTCCCTGCATGTTCTCTTCTCATCCTCGTCCGTGCTCCCCGCTAGCTTCAGATATGCCGCTTTCTTAACTTTTACTTTTTCTTGAACCTCTTCATTCCACAACCGGTCCCCTTTGTGGCCTCCCGAATAACCCTTCGTTATCCCTAGTACCTCTCTACCAGCTTTCCTAATGCAGTTTGCTGTCGTGATCCACATACTACTCACGTCCCCACTACTACTCCAGGCCCCCATTGCCAACAGCTTCTCCCGCAAAATAAAAAATAAGAAATGATAACCAAGCATATAATTCATTGATGTTGAATAATAAAAAGGATGGGCAAAACAAAAATTAAAATAAAACAATTTGCTTTTATCAATAATTGTATTCATAACAATCAAATTCCAAAAATCTGTTTACACAATCGAGAACTAAAAAATAATGCAAGTAATATAAAATTTTATAATTATTAAAAGTAAAAGCAGCTTTTATAAGTATTATCTACTTACCATTGAGAAATTTTAACTTAAATATATATTTAATGTGTGTCATATTATGAAGGAATACCGAATAATCCCTTGATAACTGGTATGGGGAAGGCCGATCAAATGTGACAAATAATATAAAGGATATAATATTAAATCAGGATAGACTTCGTGAATCCTAATGAGTGGATTATCCAGTTTGATTGTTTCATCCTTAGATTTTTGAAGAAATTACTATAGTTGGGCACTTGATAGAAGCCCAATTGAATTTAACGATTTTAGGTAAATTCCAGTGTCAAATATTTTTATTTTGACCGTAAATTTGGACATAAAGTCTTTATGTCCAAATTTACGGTCAAAATAAAAATATTTGACACTGGAATTTACCTAAAATCGTTAAATTCAATTGGGCTTCTATCAAGTGCCCAACTATAGTAATTTCTTCAAAAATCTAAGGATGAAACAATCAAACTGGATAATCCACTCATTAGGATTCACGAAGTCTATCCTGATTTAATATTATATCCTTTATATTATTTGTCACATTTGATCGGCCTTCCCCATACCAGTTATCAAGGGATTATTCGGTATTCCTTCATAATATGACACACATTAAATATATATTTAAGTTAAAATTTCTCAATGGTAAGTAGATAATACTTATAAAAGCTGCTTTTACTTT